CCCCAAAACCCCAAAACCCCAAAACCCCATAAAGATTAATTTATCTATCTTAAAGATCATATTAAGTAAATATTATTTATAATAATGGATAAATTGCTAAATCAACTAATAAAGCTTGTTAGCGAAGACGACGATATAATAGATCCAGACGGTATTAGGTCTTGTGAGGATGATGAAGTTGGAGAACTCTATAAATGCAAGTTTAATCTTGTAAATTAAAGAAGCTTTGGTATTGAGTGTTTTAGGTATGCCATTTAATTTTAATTCTAATTTACTTTAGACAATGGGTTATACTCTTGCTTTCTATTGGCATGATTGCATTTTTCTCATATTGCTTATACAAACTGTACAAAACACAAAGAGCATTTACATTTGACTTCCTTATGATCTTAATTGAGACATTTAAAGTAAATTATTCATCTTGCTTAGATATTTTAGATATTTTTGCTATTATTACATGAGTTTATATTCATCCAAATGATAACTTTGCTTCTGATTATGATATTTTAATCTTAAATCAGAGCCATTGTTTGTGCTAATTTTATTAAAAAAGCATTGGTTGCAACCTAATAAGAGCACAAACTGAATCAGTAATATATTCGAACTTTGTTAATTCAATTTAGGTTTTATATATTATATTATGGTATCATAGTTACTGTCAATTTGCTTACTGTAATTCTTGCTGTAGTTAACGATGCTTAATTGTCATGTGAAAACTCTCTCTTTAGTAATTTCTTTCAAATTAACATGGTTTATTAGGCTATCACTGGTTTATGGTATCTGGGGTTGATATATTATAGTCAATCATAATACTAGTTTCTTCAAACCATCTTATAGAATATATTAGATCGAACAAATCTGAAGATGAATAAATAATTGGGCTGCTCGATGATCAAAAATAGAAACAGTGTCTAGAACTTTAGATAAAAAGACTTTCAATCGGCTACCTCTTATTCGCAATATTTGATCTAATGCTTCTTGGAATTGGAAATGTGATTGATAGTAATGAGCATCAAGTATTCTTTTGTGTTGAAAGTTGGTATTTACTATACATTGAGGCTCCAGCCGTATGGTTCATACTTTTTCACATGCTTTTCTTTTACGTATTCTCCATCTTGATCTGGTACATTTTCTATCAGATTCCTAATTAGCATGGCTTAATTAAGAGAATGTATGCCAAGGATCTAAGAATGACATAGAACTACAAGAGTACAATTTCAACTGGAAATTTAAAGGAGAGCGAAGTTGTTGAAGAGTTCATGAAGGCAACTCAAAATACTGAAATTGCTCCGGTCTCGCCTTTACTAAGAAAAATTACAGTGATTAACGATACTTCCCCAAGATTCATAACTAGCCCAAATTAATATTCTCCGAAAAACAAAACAATGATTAGCAAACAGAATATCAATTTCTCTGAAGTCAATAACTATAATTTTCAATCAAATCTTAATGGCAGTGGAACTTCTTAAGAATTCAAAGATGTTCATGTTGAAGCAGATGACATTAGTACAAATAACTAAAACACTAACTCTGAATATCTTTTAGTTCCGAATCCTAACATTAATAACAATCAAAAGAAAAAGAAAAAGTATAATATGTTTAATAAGCCTGAAGTGACTGGGAGTGTATACTCCAAAACTAGAAATAATAGCAAGTTCGATAACTGATTGAGGAAAAAAAAATCGAATTCAGCAAATAATTAATAGCTGGGTGTCGAAACAATCAATTCATAATCTTCATCGAATTATAAAATATCTAAATCTTTAATTAATATAAAAATTATTTATATATTAACACCTGTGTTTTGGAATGATTTGGGGTTTTGGGGTTTTGGGGTTTTGGGG